TCCCACTGCATTCAGGAAAATTTGGTTAACTCTTCTCTTTGCTTTAATTTTCTGCAATATTCAGTGTGTTTGCTATATATATATATACACATATATGACACATGCATGAAATCAAATATATAAACACACTGAAAACATATATTCATTCATGTACAAACTTCCTTGCTAGTTTCACAGAAGTATTTGTACAACTGAATCTTTTTATAAAATAAGGAAAGGAGAGTGTTCTGAAAGTTTCCCTGGTTTCTTGGCAGTAAATCTCTTTTGTAGGGGGAAATTTCTCCTGATTTTTCAACTTGGTTTCTTTTGCATGTATTCCTGTTCCTTGTCATAAGCTCAGTGACTTTCTGCTGTATACCATAGAGAGGTTCGCACTTATTCAGCAATGCAAGATGAGGAGGGTACAGTCAGGAAATTTGTCAATTGTATTTTTGAAATGCTCAAAAAAAAAAGAAAAAGAAAAAGAAAAGAAGTCAGATTTATTTTAATTTTACCTTGTTAGATTCTAGGTGCTATGGTCTGTGAGGCCGAGTCTGGCAAATATGCTGCTGGGCATCCCAAGCTGCCTTGCAGTGTCTGTTGCAGTGGCACAAACGTAGCCCCTACTCACTACCTGGCTTAGCTGTTCCCATGAAGAGTGAGATTGAGGCAGAGCCTCCACTGTGTGCTGGGGAAAGGTGAGCACCAACAGCTGGACAGTGTGCCGTGAGCACTTGACGTTTGACATTTTCAAAGGGGCTCTGTTATCGGTTGAATTGTGTCTCTCCCAAATATGTTGAAGTCTTAACCCCCAGTCCCGGTGGATGTGATCTTATTTGGAAATACAATCTGCAGATCTAGTCAAGTTAAGAGGAGGCCATTAAGGTAGGCCCTAATATGACTAACATTCTTGTCAAAAGAGAGGACTTTGGACACACACATGCACAGAGAGGAGAACTGCGTGTGAGGACACGGACCCAGAGGGAAGACGGCCATGTGAGGACAGAGACAGAAATTGGAGTTCTGTTGCAACACGCCAAGGAAGCTCTTGGTTTCCAGAAGCTGGAAGATGCAATGAAGGATCCTCCCCTACAGGATTCAGAGGGAGCATGTCCCTGCCAACACCTTGATTTTGGACTTCCAGCCTCCAGAACAGAACTCCAAAATCTTCTGTTGTATTAAGCCAGCCATTTTATGTTACAGACATACCTCAAAGCTATTGCAGGTTCAGCTCCAGACCACCACAATAAAACAAATAGGACAACAAACGAGTCATATGAACTTTCTGATTTCTCAGTGAGTCTAAAAGTTGTTTTCATACTATACTGTAGTCTATTAAGTGTGAAATAGCATTATGTCTATTTAAAAAATGGTTTATTGATAAAAAATGCTAAAGATTATCTGACCCTCAATAAGTCATCATCTTTTTGCTGGTGGAGGGTCTTGCCTCAAGGTTGATGGCTGCTGACTAATCATGGTGGTGGTTGCTGAAGGCTGGGGTGGCTGTGGCAATTTCTTAAGCTAAGACAACAATAAAACTTGCCTATTGATTGACTCTTCCTTTCACAAAAGATTTTTCTAGCATGCAATGCTGTTTGATAACACTTTACCCCCGAACTGCTTTCACAATTGGAGTCAATCCTCCCAGATACTACTGCTGCTTTATCAACTAAGTTTATGTCATATTTTAAATTGTTTGTGGTCATTTTAAACAATGCTCACATCATCTTCACCACGAAGAGACTCCATCTCAAAAAAACCACTTTCTCTGCTCATTCATAAGAAGCAACTCCTCATCTGTTCAAGTTGGATCATGAGATTGTAGCAATTCAGTCACATCTTCAGGCTCCACTTCTAATTGTAGTTCTCTTGCTATTTCCACCACGTCTGCAGTTATTTTCTCCACTGAAGTTTGAACCTCGCAAAGCTATCCGTGAGGATTGGAATCAACTTCTACCAAACTCCTGTTAATGTTGATATTTTAATCTCTTCCCATGAATCATGAATGTTGTTAATGGTATGTAGAATGATGAATTCTTTCCTGCAGTTTTCAACTTACTTTGTTCAGATCCATCAGAGGAATTACTGTCTGTGGGAACTATAGCCTTACAAAATGTATTTCTTAAATACTGAAACTTGGAAGTCAAAATTACTACTTCAGCCATGGACTGCAGAATAGGTGCTGCTGTCATCAGGCAGGAAAACTACACTCATCTCCTTGTCCATCTCCATCAGAGGTCTTGGCTGATGAGGTGCAATGTCAATGAGCAATAGTATTTTGAAAGGAATCTGTTTTTCTGAGCACTAGAGCACAACGTGGGCTTAAAATAATCAGTAAGCCACGCTGCAAACATACCTCTGCCATCAGGCTTTGTTGTTCCATTTATAAAGTACAGGCAAGGCACATTTAGCATAATTCGTAAGGGCTCTAGGATTTTTAGAATGGTCAGTGAGCATTGGCTTCAACTCAAAATCACCAACAGCATTAGCTCCTGAAAAGTCAGCCTATCCTTTAATGCCTTGAAGCCAGGCATTGATTGGTCATCTCTAACTATGAAAGTCCAATTGATAGCTCTTTTGTCTACATGGAAAATCTGCTAGTTAGTGTAACACCTTCATCAATGATCTTAGTTAGATCTTCTAGACAAATTGTGTGGCTTCGACATCAGCACCTCTTGCTTCACCTTGCACCTTTATGTTATGGAGATGCCTTCTTTCCTTAAACGTCAGGAACCAAACTCTGCTAGCTTCCAGCTTTTTTTTTTTTTTTTTTTTTTTTTTTTTTTCCTGCAGCTTCCTACCTCTGTCAGTTTTCACTGAATTGAAGAGAGTCAGGGCCTTGCTCAGGATTAGGCTTTGACTTAAGGAAATGTGTCTGGTTTGATCTTCTATCTGACTGCTAAAACTTCTGCATTAGCAATAAGGCTGTTTCACCGTCTTATCATTCATGTGTTCACTGGAATATCACTTTAAATTTCCTGAAGTACTTTTGCCTTGCCTTTACAACTCACTAGCCGTTTGGCGCACGAGGCCTGGCTTTTGGCCTATCTTGGCTTTCAACGTATTTTCCTCACTAGGCTTCATCATCTCTAGCTTTTGATTTAAAGTAAGAGATGCATGACTCCTCCCTTCATGTGAACACTTAAAGGCCATTGTGGGGCTAGTAATCGTCCTAGTTTTAGTATTACTGTGTCTCAGGCATTAGGGAGTCCTGAAGACAGGGAGAGAGAAGGGGAGTGTCTAGTTTATGGAGCAGTCAAAGCATGCACATTTATTAAATTTTGTGTCTTATATGGGTGCATTTCCTAGTGACCCCAAACAATGACAATAGTCACACCGAAGATCCCTGATCACAGATCACTGTCACAGACATGATAATAATGAAAAAGTCTGGGATATTGTGAGAAGTTTGGGATATTGAGAGACACAAAGTGAACACATGTTGTTGGAAAAATGATGCCGACAGACGTGCTTGTCACAAGGTTGGCACAAGCCTTCGATTGTAAAAAGCAAACAACTGCGAAGCGCAATAAAACGAGAAACACCTGTACTTGGTGATGGCAGCCGTAGAAAGCAATTATGCTGTTACCAGTAAGATTTGTTCTCCCACACAGATGCTATATGGCCTTCTCTTTCTTCCAGCAATGTCTACCCTGGGCTGGCATTGTTTGTGTGCTTTGAGTACTATACTCTTTCCTAATTTATTTTCCTTCCCATCCAGTGAATGCCATACTCTTTATATGTGCATTTCAATCAGGAATTAACATCTGTGTTCAAGCCTCTTAAGAGCAGGGTGCAATAGCCTAGTTTCCTTCCTGAGTTGTGGCTAGAAGGTGTATGGCTGTGCCAGAACTCTTGAACCAAGAGATGTTGCTGCCAACTCACCCTGTAATACAAGAATAGTTGATTCTGGATCCAACCTGGATGTTTGTGATCACATGCACCACGCCATTCTTTGGATCTGAAGGAGTTTTACA